TGTATATATATATATATATATATATATATATATATATATATACATCCACCAATATATTTACGTATGTGTATATATTTAAGTAGTTTTCTTCTCTTTAGCGAGAATTGCCGCAGCATATATGTCCGTCGCTTGATCCGCGAGCTGATCCGGAATGTAGATTTAACACGTGTGCAGTGAGAGGGATGCGCTTTTTTTTATTTTTTTTTTTTTCAGGTCACACGGTGCGTCTCTCCTCTTGTGTATACTTTTACGCTGCCACGTGCTCTCCTTACGCCGCTGATGCGCACCTCTGTGCAACACACAACTTACGAGTGCACTCTCGGGTGTGTGCGTGTACTTACGTGGAGTTACACGAGGAAGGTGAGAAAATGATACCGAGATGAGGGTACGTGCGCCTCTCTTTGCTGTATCTGATGATTGCCGGCCGACTGGCGCCGCCGACCACTTGTCGGTCCCCGCGGCTACTTTACTCGCGAGCTTATTGCGTGTGTTTGTATACACATACAAGTGTACCTACTGTTTCGTATTTTTTTTTTTTTTTTTTTCAAACGCCACGGCACTGCGCAACATAAACCTTCATTGTACACACAAGCGCGCTTACACTTCACCGTATACTTGTGTAGCTTGCCGCGGAGCGTCAACTTGTACAACAGTACTTATATGCGTGTTATTATTATTTACAATCTTTGTGACTCACTGTTTGTTTGTTTGTTTGTTTTTTTTTTTTCCACAAGCCGATCACCGATTCACTCACTTTTTAATTTTCCGCGGATTTATTCGCTATAGGCCTGTAAGTTTGTTCCGAGAGCGGCACTGTCGAATTTCTCTCTCGATTAGTTTTGTTCGGGCGCGCACTGTCACTTGTTCACACGAGCGGTTCGAAACAAGTATACCGGTCGTGCGGCTTGCCGCGCCTAAACAAAAATCGCAAGCCGCGAAACTCAGCCGAAAACAGGAAAAACGTAAAACTTGGAAAATTTTGTTCTTTACTTATTTCAAATTTGTTTTGAAACGTGCAAGTAAAAAGGGCCAAAAGAGCACGAGCTTTGGAGTTTAGCTCCAAAAATCCTTGGGTACGGGGAATACAGCAAGGGGGTGTTGCCGAAAGATGCTGCGGGTGCTCGCTGCCGGAGCTACGTCGACAGACTGCGAGCCTCGATAGCGGCGCTTGCTCGGCTTGGCGGCGTTATACATATATATATACCAATATGTTATATAGCAGTGGCGGTGCGCGCGGAGTCTGGGGGGTCGGCTGGCTGGCTTTACCAGTTCTCTCTCTCTCTATCCCAACACACACTCGGCAGTCTCGGCACGGCCGTACATCTACCTATATACACTACAGCAGTAGAGTAGAGCGAGCGCGTGGCCCCCTTTTCTCTCTCACTCCCCAATAGGGGGGGGAGGTGGGGGGCTGAGGAGGAGGCGACGATCCGTGCACGCGTCCGCCCGCGCTCGCGAGCAGTAGGTATAATGCACGTATATAGATGTATATATGCGGTATGTACACACACGAGCGCGTGCACGCGGCGGTGAAGGCGCGTCATTCAATGAGGGGGGGCCACGGGGGGTCGTCATAGCGTCGGGATAGGGACTACTCACCTTACCTGTATATCTGGCTTGTACAAGTGGGTGCAACTACGGGGTACCTGGCACACGTAAAAAGGACCGAGAGATCGGTAGTATAATAGATATATACGTGTATGCATGCATGAATCCTACGTTATAAGTTTTGGGGGACAAAGTTGTTTCTGTATTGATAGTATAGAGATCCTCTTTTTGCGTGCAGTTTATTTTTACGAATACCAACTACGAAAGTCGAAACTTTACAAAAATTATTAAGGGTTTTCCGCAAAGATTTACGTACACTCGTAACCAATTTATTCCGTAAAAATTTTCAATACCATAGGGGGTCAATAGTCTATCGTTTGAGATATTGACCTTCCAATTGTGGATCAACAACTTGTGTGGATCAAATCTATTGTGTTGAGATTTTGAAGAAATGTGCGCGATTTGCGTTAAGAAAAATAATAATTTAGAGTTGCCGATTTTTGCGTTTTGGTCCAAACACCGTGAAATTACTTTGAAACAATATCGATAAGGGCAATACCGATTACTTGTAGGAGAAAAAAAAAAAAAAAAAGAAAAATCAGCTCAAGGCTGCTGTAACCCATGTAAGCGTGCAACAACGAGGCTCATACGGGGCAGTAGGTAAGTACTATAAATCTTTATTGTTGCCATCTTCTCAGAAGTAGGCACATAGACTCTCGTCACGGTTTTTGGTGTTGGTTACGTCATCCATGTTTTAATAAACTCTCGCATGGAAATGAAAAAGTATTCGAATACGCCCAAAGAAGCATTACTTCAACCAATGATATCCATGTCGCGAGCAGGTGAGCTCACGATGATGCCTTTTTAACTGACAAGCATCTGATGGAGCCCTTTGTCGATCGCGAACTAAAGTCTTGGGAAAAACATTTAAAAAAAGTCCGGACACGCGAAAAATTCATACGTATAGGAAAGAAACTCTCTGCAGATATAGATAGATGGATGGAGATATGGATGTAAGGGGGGAGTAGAGATGCGAAAAGGGTGCGGGTGATACATGTACATATGTATAATGTATCGGGGTGGCTTCGAGCGGAAGCGATGAGCCCTTGCCAGCGGGCGGCGACGCGCAAGCCAACATCAGACACGTACATATATATATATATATGTGTATGTGTGTACAAACGTCACGGCAGGGGGGTCGGGGACAACAGGGGGGAAGCTCGACTCGAGCCAAGCCGGCTATACCCATCAGCGGCGCGAAAGGCCGAAGCCGTTTGAGCGTCGAGAGCTTCATCTCTCTCTGCCTCCGCTCCGCTATTATCGTACTCCCTGATGCGTATATATCTATTTATATGTGTATACGTATATATATATATACAAAGTGCGCACCCACATTCGCGCGTACATGTATATATACATATCCATGTATATACATATGTATAGAGAGGCGCAGCCGCGGGCGGTACGGCACGTTCTCTCGTCGGCACGCGCGCTTTGCCGTCAAGTGCTCTCTCTCTCTCTGCCAGCGGCAGCACAGCAGTAACTCGCTGTGGGTGGTAGGTGGGTATTCCTGTTATGTGCGGGTGTGTGCTTGCACGTCTCGGCGAACGAGCCAGCCGCGGGGGGGTGGCGGGAAGGAATACATGCATCCGTGTTGTTAGAGAGCACTGCACGCCCTACACTGCGGATGGATGTATAGAAGTATATATATATTATATATATGCGGCACGCATATGATAATAATACCTACATGTATATAATTATATATGTATATATATATACCTGCAAGC